GCTCGAGCTTCACGATCTGACGGCTCTGCATCAGCATGGCGCTGGTGCCCCCTTCAACTTTCCCAAGAGACAGGACGACTACCTCAAGATGCTGGACAGATTCGACCCAGGATCCTTCCTAACAGGCAGGCGAGGGACCATGACTCCGTACAAGCACGCCTATCGCCACCGAGGTGGGTACAGGGGAGCCATCAAGCGCAGGTCTCGAGACTTTCAAGGTACGGGCACAGAGGCTCGCGCAGCCATCTTCGCACCTCATAAGCAAAATGGTCTGAGAAACTTGTCTGATTCGCTGTAACTCGAGTGAATTGCGACGAGCACGAGTGGGTTGAATCGCCAGCACAGCGGTACAAGATCTTGCTCTTGCAACGCCCGCGAGTCTGCACTGGCACCGTCAAATCGTGGGGCGGCAATCCTTAAGCCAGACCAGCCTTCTTCATGGCCTCGAGCATAAGCGCACCGATCTTGGCGGGCGAGTCCGCCACAATGGCACCGGCATCCGTGAGCGCCTTGACCTTGTCCTCCGCACCGCCCTTGCCACCCGCGACGATGGCTCCACTGTTTCGATGCGACGCGAAATGAAAAAAATAAAAATAAAAATAAAAATAAAAAACACCACCACCACCATCCCGACAAAAGGTAGGACAAAGAAGATATGATCTTGGTTAGCATGTTGTTCCTCATACTTCACGACGATTCTGAGGGTATACCGGGTTATGACACGTGCGCGTGGCCCATACGCCTTCCTGGAGGTGCGGTTCGTCCTGCGATGAATGCGACGACGGGCTTGGGGTTGGCGCGGGTCTTGTTGTACTTGGCGAGGTACTCGGCGGCGTCCTCCTCCATGGAGCCGCCGATCTCTCCGATGAGGACGATGCCCTCGGACTTGTCGTGGTCGAGGAGGAGCTTGACGAGGTCGAGGGTGGTGGAGCCCGGGAAGGGGTCGCCGCCGATGCCGACGCAGAGGGACTGGCCGAGGCCGACCTGGGTAGTCTGGTTGACGGCCTCGTAGGTGAGGGTGCCGGAGCGGGAGACGATGCCGATGCGGCCGGGGGTGTGGATGGAGCCGGGCATGATGCCGATCTTGCAGCCTTCAGGGTTGATCACACCGGGGCAGTTGGGGCCCACGAGGCGCGATTTGGACTGCGAGCGGAGGGCGGCGGCGACGCGGATCTCGTCCTTCTGGGGGATGCCCTCGGTGATGGCGACGATGAGGGGCACCTCGTTCTCGATGGCCTCGATAATGGCGTCTGCGGCGCCGGGGGGAGGGACGTAGAGGACGGAAGCGTGCGGCTTGGTCTCACGCACGGCCTCCTTGACCGAGCCGAAGACGGGGAGGCCGAGGTGGGTCTGACCGGCCTTCTTGGGCGAGACACCGCCAACGAGCTTGGTGCCGTATTCGAGGGCCTGCTGGCAGTGGAAGGTGCCGGTCTTGCCGGTGAAGCCCTGGCAGATGACGCGGGAGTCCTTGTTGATGAGCAGGTTCTTGATCGTGTCCTCGTACGAGGCGCGGGCAGTGGACGACGAGAAGCCGCGCGCGAGCGGGCGGCGGAGCGAGACGGCGGCGTGCTTGAACATGCTGACGATTCGTGAAGAGTGCAGCGAGAGAGAAAGGGAGGGATACGGAGTGACGGTGTGGAAGAGAAGAGGGATTGCGGACTGGAAGATCGACAGTTGGACAAAGTCGCACACGGCGCAATCTGCGAACGTGTTGCGCTCGGCCAGCTTGCGGCCGAATCGGGAGACGGCGCCTTCCGTCTTGCTCTCTCTCTCTCTCCGCAGGTACTCTCGCTCTCCCTCCAGACTCGCTCTGCCCGCTTTTTCCTGCTTGGCTCTGTCTCTGCTGGCCGGCACCCGAAAATGCACTCGCTCAAAAAGGCCAATTGGAATCCAGCATCCTTCAGTCCCACTCTTAACTCTACACTGTAATTCGAAGAGATCACATCCGGAAACGTCTTTGTCTCGAGCTAGCATGCACGAAGTGAATGTGGAAGCTGTCGGAAGGCCCGGGAGGGGGAAGTGAGTGCGGGCGTATGATGGCCGTTGCGAGCGCACTACGGCGGCTTCAGCGGAAAGCTCCGTCCGTAGCAATTCGCCGATCCGCACCCGCTCGTGATCGAACAGGAAAATTCTTTGAGGTGTTAGACCTTCGATTGGGCATCATCTGCAGCTTCCTGCTGTCTCCTGTCCGCACAGCTTGGCGCTGGCACGTCGGACGCTAGGGTCGTTATGTTTACGAGATTCATTGTGGACTAGAAAGAGTACAGGTGTAGTGTGTGTAGAGACGGTGTGTATGGACGGTGTGTGGGGAGCCATGATGGGGACGAATGCGAAATCTCAAGTGAGCGGGTAGAGGTGCGCGCAGAGATGCGGGATCAGTCCGAGTCGTCCTCGTCGGTGCCCTCTTCGGCCTCGAGATCAAACATGCCGTTGGGACCGCGACCACCATCCTCCACGTCGTACTCCTCCTCATCATCGTCATCCTCCATGTCGCTGGCACCATCCCCCTCGAGGTCGCTCTCGTCAGGGAGCTCCTCGTCGTCCTCGTCCTCATCCTCGTCTTCTTCCTCGTCATCGTCCTCCTCTTCGTCTTCATCGTCGTCGACGTCTTCAATGTCCTCGATGTCCTCATCGTCATCATCGTCGGCATCCGAGTCCGATTCAGCCGAGGTGTTGCCGTCCGAGGCACGGCCGTTCTTGACGCGGCGACGGCGACGAAGCGGACCGGCATCCTCATCGTCGCTGTCCTCGTCGTCGTCCTCATCGCTTTCGGCACCGAGCGCAATGTCTTGGACATCGCCTTCCTCGTCGTTCTCGCCACGGACGAGGACACCATCGGCGTCGGTGGCCATGTCGTCGGCATCCGAGTCCGAGTCGTCGGTCTCCTCGACCCACTTCTTGCCCTTGCGTCGCTGCTTGTCCTCACTCTGCGCCTGGGCGAGCTTGTCTCCCTGCGTCTTCTTGCCAAACTTGACGCCCTGGACGCGCACCTGGTTGTTGCTCGCCTGCGACATGTACGCCGCGCGCGCCTCGATCTGCGAGAGCACCAGCTCGAGTCGGCCGTTGAGCGCCAGGAGACGCTCGTGCGTAGCCAGACGCGTGGTCAGCGTCGCATGCAGGCCCGAAAGCCTGCTGACGAGGTTGGGGAGCGACATGAGGTAGCCCATGTGGTTGAGCAGGGTGGCACGCACCCACTCCATGAGACCACGTGCCTTTTGCGAGCCCATGCTGCCCTTGCTGACGTGGTTGCCGCCGACGCCGTTGAGACGGCTGACGCACTCTTCGAGCAGCTTGACCGAGAGCGGGCCCGAGATCTTGCGCACCGTGTTGCGGATGAGGATGGGGTCGTTGTGATTCAGACAGCTGGTGAGCAGACTCGTGTCGCCCGAGTGCAGAGCCTGCGAGAGCGACGACGCGAGCGAGGCCTCGTTGGTCAACGACTGCTGCTTCTTGCTCGGCATTTGCGCATCGTCCTCCTCGGCCTCCTGGCCTGCAGTCGAAGGATCGCTGAAGCCGAGCTCCTTGAGCCTCTGCGCCAGCGTGGGCTCGAGCTCAGCACCACGTGAAGACGGCGTGGCTACCAGACCAGCATCCTCGAGACCCGTCGCAAGACCGTCGTCGTCCATCCCTTGCGGTCGCATCGGCGCGTCCGCGTACCTTTGCGTGCTGGCGGCACCGCCAGTGAGCTGCGCCTCGTTGCTGTCGGCAACCAGCAGGCCGGAAGACGAAGCATTCTGCTTTGCTCCTGTGACAGGCATCTGGAGCGTCTTTTGCAGCTGCGCATCCTTGCCACGCATGATGGTGGTCTCGTCGATCGACACCTTGGCGCCGCGGATGAGGCGAGCCAGGCGCAGCTTGTCTGCGACGATTCTCGAGTCGATCCATTCCGTCGCCGACGCGCTGGGCTCGGACTGCGCAAGCAGCTCGAGCGACGGCAGTGCGGCCGACTTCTTCTTGGATGGAGAGGCGTCCGATTTGGATTCGGCAGGGAGGCCGTAGATGCGGACGCTGCCGGTCTGCGTGACGATGGTGATGAGCGTGCGAGGCTGCTGAGTGGACGCGGCGCAGACCGAAAGCGCTCGCACAGGGCCGTCGAGTGCAGCAGTAGCAAATGCATGTCCGGTCACCGACTTGCCGGTCTTGCTGTCGTCAAAGCTCCATGCGCTGACGATGCGATCGCCCTCGGCCGCCGAAATGAACGAATTGTCGCTGAGCCATTCGAGATGCGTCACGGGCGATGCGTGGCCGGTGAAGGAAGCGCGCACCGCGTTGTCCGACTGGGATGCGTCGGTCAAGCTGATGGCGTGGTGTGCGGAGAGTACGAGATCGCGGCGCGAGGCGAGGAGCTGGACGGCGGACTTTGTGTCGGGACGGAACGACGAGAAGGGCCGCAACGGCGCCTGTTGGTCGCCGAGCTTGACGTCTGCGAGCGCGAAAGCGGATACCCAACCGCTCTTGGAGCAGGCAAACAACGTAGCCTTGTCGTCGGAGAACGACATGGAGACGACGCTAGCATTTGCGGCCGAGGAGGTGCTGCTGCCGGAGGCGGCGGAGGCATCGAGGATAGCGACCGACTGAGCCAATGCTGGGCTGAGCAGGTGCACCTGCCCGGAGCTCAGACCAAGCGCGAGAAGCAGCTGCGATGAGGACGACGACGCGGGAGTCGCATCAGCGCCGTTCTCTGCACCGTGCTTCCTGCGCTTGGTCGACTTGTTTGATGTGGAGATGCGCACCCACTGCGACGAGAGGCACTCTGCGCCGCCGAGGGAGGCGAGAAGGAAGTCGGTCACAAGCTGGGAGGTAGAAGCTGCGGATGCGGAGGCATTGTAGATGCGCAGGCGCTGCTGGTGAACCTGGTTGCTGATGTGCGCAAAGAGCGTGTGATCCGGCGCGGGCGAGAAGGAGCACGAAGCTGTCGATGCGGTCACGGCGCCCGAGCTAGGCAAGAGCGGCTGGTTGAGCTCCGAGGTGGAGGCAGGTCGCGACCTGGAAGGCTTGACAGCCTGTTTCTTCGCCATGTTTGCGGCGATGCGTGGTGGCAGATCGGTAGCGATGGCGGTGGCTGCACAACAAGGATGGTGGAACCGGCGAGGAAGAAGTCAAGTCGCTCGTTCGCTCGTTCTCGGCAGACAGAGAGGCTGCTGAGAATTTTCGACACAAAAGCCTGTGGAGCTGCCTCTCCTTTTTTTCGAGCCCTGGCTGCAGATGAAATTCTTCCTGCCCTTTTCGCAGCTGTCCTCTTAGAGCAAACGAAAAAACTTGGGAGGCAGCATGGATGACAGATGCTTACGTGTGTCACCCAAGTCCAGTTTCGCTCCTCGACCTGTCACTTTGGCGCAGCGCGTGGCGCGTTGAGCCGGCTCTCAAATTTGAGCGAGCGGCCAGAACAAGGCGTTCGTGACGGACGGCCCACGAACGCACGGGGCTGCAGCTTCGGCCAAGCGTGCGCTGAGCCAGCCTGTGTGGCAAGCGGCGCCCCCGCGGCTGAGACCGACACCACCCATGCTAGCAATGTGCAGGGTGGCCCCCGCCTAGATCTGTTACATTTGCAGTCAAACCTGTCGCGCTGAGCAGCTTTCGATCGACCCGGCCTAGCTCCCCTTGCAGCCGCCGACGTCCTTACCGCGAGCTTGGATCTTGATCTCATCGTCCATTCGGTCACCTTCCTTCGTCGACATCACCAGCCACCCAACTCCTGCTCACGCTGCCACAACGCAAGTCTCGGTCGCCGAACGTTGCCCTCGCAATCATTCCAGGACTGGTGCACATCGTCACCCGACGAACGCAATATCCGACCGCCTCCGCCTGCCACAGACTCGATCGAGCACCGACACCAGCAACCTTCAACCCGTCGACCGCGGACTTGACACTTCAGCATGAACTACGTCCAGCTCGAGAAGCTCGGCGAGGGCACATACGCCACCGTGTACAAAGGGCGCTCGCGGCTCAACAATGAGATCGTCGCGCTCAAGGAGATCCACCTCGATGCCGAGGAGGGCACGCCGTCGACGGCGATCCGTGAGATCTCGCTCATGAAGGAGCTGCGCCACACCAACATCGTGCGACTCTACGACGTCATCCACACCGAGTCCAAGTTGATGCTCGTCTTCGAGTTCATGGAGCAGGACCTCAAGAAGTACATGGAGATCCATGGCCACCGCTGTGCGCTCGATCCGGTCACCGTGCGCTCCTTCATGTTCCAGCTGCTCAAGGGCACCGCCTTCTGCCACGAGAACCGCGTGCTGCACCGCGATCTCAAGCCGCAGAACCTTCTCATCAACAAGCGCGGCGAACTCAAGCTCGCCGACTTTGGTCTTGCGCGTGCCTTCGGCATCCCTGTCAACACATTCTCCAACGAGGTCGTGACGCTCTGGTACCGTGCTCCCGACGTTCTGCTTGGCTCGCGAACCTACTCGACCTCGATCGATATCTGGAGTGCCGGTTGCATCATGGCCGAGATGATTTCGGGTCTGCCGCTCTTCCGCGGCCGCGACAACAACGACCAGCTCAACCAGATCCTGCGCATCCTCGGCACGCCCGACGACGCCACCATGAAGCGACTGGTCAACGACTCGCCCGAGATCCAGATCCGACCTTTCCCACGCGTGCCCAGAGTGCCCTTCCAAAACATGTTCCCCAAGGCGCATCCGCTGGCCATCGACCTGCTCGACAAGCTGCTCAAGTTCGACCCCACACAGCGCATCTCGGCCGACGAGGCGCTCCGCCATCCCTACTTCACCACCTCGGCTGCCATCGCCGGTCTGCCCCACCCGCAGAGCAATAGCCAGCTCAACCTCGGCAACGGCGGTGGCGTCAATGGCGCGCCGCAGCAGGGCAGCTACCAGCAGGGCGTGCCTGGCCAGCCTGTCAACTGAGTTCGTCTACAATCGGTACCGCTATCCGGCCCAAGGCAGCCGCCAAGATTGTCCTGACAACCTCACATCCGCTCAGGGCGAAGGGGACCCTCTTTTCCTTCGGCCCCTTTCCTCCTGCCTTGTTCTCCCCCCTTCCTCTCTGATCCCTCTGTACAAGTATGCATTTCTCTATTCTCATTGACCAGACCGAGTACCAGACGATTCGAGTGTGTGCCAACTTGCGACTGCGAAGCATGCAGCTGCCATGGAGCAGAGGGCGTGATTTTTTTTCGGAACTCGGAGAGGGCAGTCTACACGTGATGGTGGCCATTCAGGGCCCAGCAGAGCGCCTTCCCAGCCCAATTGCCAGGCTGGGCCGCGAAGAAAAGAAATGTCCGGTGAGCGCTTTCCGACTTCCAGCTTTTGGCACATCCTCACCTCTCCATCCCTGTGCATCAGTTCATCATCATCTTTGCAGCACGACTCCGGCAGACTCCAGGAACATCCTGCATCTCTTCGATCTGGTCGGCTGTTACGGCGCAGGGCACAATCATCACACATCCGGTTCCAGCACAGCGACACGGGCATGGACACAGCGACAGAGTGCATGTCGAACTAGGCCAAGTACGGCACCAAGCCTATTAGTAGCGCCCGTGGTTGGCGAGGGTTGCGGGCGATGCGCCATGCTGCGCAGGTGTGCAGAGGGCTCGCAGAGGCAGCACGCTCGCTCGAGCGGCCCTACGTCCCCAGACACGTGCCCCTGCCGTCGAGCAGCTACAGCGCAGCCGCACAGAGCCCCGCTTTGCCAAGTCCGCCGAGACCCAATGCGCTGGACAGGAAAGGCGAGGTAGAGTCGCAACGTCCCAAAACAATTGCTCAGCGGCCTGGAGCAGGTCGCCTCAGAGATTCTGTCAGCACCGATTCAAGCAGCAGCACCCACAACAGCCTCGCAAAGACGAGACAACCACCAATAGCACAGCCTTTCTCTGTACGCAAGTTCGAAGCCCCTTTGGAAGTCGACTCGATTCGATCTTCGACACGACAGCGGCCAAAGAGTGTCCGCGATTCCGGGGCAGTGGATGCTAAGCAGAAGAGGCGCGAAGATGGCAGAACGAGTACAAGAGCGGAAGGTGGCTCAATCCTGCCAGCTTACGTCCAAGCGAAGCTCAAGCGGCTCAAGACAGTCTACCCTTCGCTGAACCAAGAGCAAGCTTTGCTGCTGTGGCGTACATTCGAGCGCACCCGTACGTTCCGCACATACCGTCCGCAAGCGCTCATCTCTTGGTACGAGGATCACGTCTGGACCACCGAACGGCAGACCACCGATGCAGCGCGCATCGAGTCGGCGGCGTCGCTCTGCATGCTGCTGCGCTACGCGTATCTTCGCAACGATCTACGCTCGCTCCTGCGCGTCGAAGCGCGAGCTGTGCGCTCTGCGTGGCTCGCCAAAGACCGCCATCGCACCACATCGGCGCCAGGATCGACGAAGCAGCTCGGTGGAGACGAGGCGGATGGGGTGACGCTATGGCCCGCGCACGGCGAGGATCCACGCCGGCTGGCGCATAATCTCAAAGTAGCACTCGCGGCGCGCCACGGCGATTGGATCAAGGTCGAGCAGCTCCTGGACGCGCATGGTGCGGCTCGGAATCGAGGCTCGCATGAGCTCGATGCGGTCGGATGGGGAAGCTTGCTGCGCTTCGGTCTAGGAAGTGTGGAAACGGTGACCGAGCCAATCGTCACTCCGCGTCCAGTCGAAGAGCCAGCACCTTCCAAGAGCAGCGCGCGCAAGAAGCAGCCTCGCAAATCGGCCATGCCCGAGGTAGTTGAAGCGAAAGAGCGCGTGGAGGAACCAAAGGAGGATGGGGACGAGAAGAAGCTGCAAGCGGAAGCTCGGATTTCTTTGACGAAGCGGTTGATGCCGCAACTGTTGCGCCAAATGACGGCGAAGCAGGATGCGGCGGGCTTGGCGCCCGGATGGTTGCTCGACGCGGTGCTGACGCAGCTTTTGGAGCACGCCAAGTCGGATGCTGTGCTGCGTATCGTTCGTCTGGCGCTTGCCGAGACTGAGCCGCAGCAAGATCCATTGGTAAGGGGCGGTTTCACAGGTATGCTCAACCTCGCGCTTGCGGCGTGTGTGCAAGACCGCAAAGTAACCCTCGCCGAAACGCTGCGGATCTTCAACAGCATCACTGGAGCGAGCTTTGGTCGGGACCTTGCGGGTCGCTCAACGCAGGCGGAGGGAAAGGCGGAGATTGTGCCGAACGAAGAGTCGTTGGTGCTGATACTGAAGAAGGTGCGGCATCCGCTGTTCAGGGCATCGTGGAGTCGCAAGTTGCTGGACGAATTCGTGCAGCGATGGCCACATGTTAGGCTCACAGGTCGAAGCTATCGTATGGTTCTTGATCTCTGTGCAACTGCCCCACCCAAGCCAACCTCCGACTCGCACGCAAGGGAAGGAGGCGAGAGAAAGGTCGCAGTACCGGGTTCAATCCCAGATCGGGCGCGGGGGGTGATCGTCAAGGCAACGCTACTCGAACGTACGCTGCTCGACATCCTCGCGCGGTTCGAAACCAACCCCTCGACCTTCCACCGCACCACCACCAACCGGTTTCGCTTCAACCACACGCTCGTCAACCTGCGCCGCATCGTCAAGCTCAAACTCGCAACGCACCCGCAACCCACCCAGCTGAATCACATCATCCACCTCATCCACCGCCTCCAATACATCACCCGAAAACCCTCCACCCCCAAACCTTATCCCAACTAGATTGTTCGCTCTCCCAATCTTATTTTAACTCCAAAGCTAA